TTGGTAACTGTTGGCCTTTGTGACTTTGACCATGGTCGTCGTGGTTGAGTAACCAAACAAACGAATAGTGAGGTGAAAAGAGATATATAGATACCCATCAAGCTTAAACTAAGAGGTATATATCATGACATAACATAACATAACATCACGCCTTTTATCTCCGAAGGGGTAGGCAGAGGTGCACATTATGCCACTGTACAATGTAACACCCACTTTTCACTATTTATGTTATGAGTCCCATGTAATAAGGGGTGAGGATATTGCCATATACCGGACACAATTTCAGACTCCGTGCTACTACTGAGAACCCTTTTTAAAAACCTAGTAATACTTTGCCCGACCCGTGAATCGAACCCGAGACCCCTTGCCCAGCAGTCGCACTTGCGACCACTCGGCCAACGAGGCCGTCATTAAATATCATGTAAAGACTAAAACAAAGTTCCTAACTACTTACCGAGAGTTTAAGTAAAAAACTCAATTAAAACTAAACTTTAACTAAAATCTTAATGGCCCTACTCGACTGTTGGCTCGAGACAATTACTCATAAGTAGGTACTGTCAAGTTCAGCCTCCGAAAAAGTTTAGAAATGGTACCACACACATTACGCCCACACACATGATACTCAAGTACGAAAAAAGTGAAAGTTATCCTGAAGTGTGCGGAAAATAAATTGGTGGAGGTCACGAGTTCACGACCCTTAATAATAAAGAAGACGATACAGGGAAATCATGAAAGTGAAATTTAGGTGTGTAATTCAAAGTCAAAAGCTAAGGGCAAATAATTTATTTCAATTAAACCTACAAAGTCCCTTCGAAAAAATTTGAGAAAAATATTCAATATTTTTTTTAATTGGTAACCCAAGATGCATATACATACTTACGTACTTGAAGTATTTTTTTAATAACGACACTTTTATGATAACACGTCTGTTTTTTAAAGAGTAACAATGGAGTTCCTAGCTAGTTTTTTTTTCAATTTTTGTCGTTTCAAAGTGCCTAAATAAGGAATGAATGCTCAATTGCCATAGAAGAAAAAAAAAATGAATTAATTGAAATAAATGCTTTGACTTTGACATGAGGGTTCGACATGATACGTACATTAAAGTTGAAGTTTATCAAAAAAAAATTAGGTTAGGTTATTCACACACCCACCCATACCGCTCAAAAAAGACATCCGCACTTGATTTTCTAATACCTACATTAATAATAATAAAAACCACCATTCAGTACATAAACCTAGTGATTGATGACAATTAATGACAAATCCATATCGTTTTGATAGCCATTCATTGGTAATTCATTCCGTATTTATACATACGTGTTTACGTCAATCGCTCCAAATTAGGGCAGCTGATCACCAGTGCTGTTTACAAATGAAAATGTACTGTGAAATGGTTTCATTTGATGCAAATGTGATATTCGTTTAGTCTTGTTGTGTTTATTCATATACTTTTGGATAATTATGTTTTAATACTATTGTTATAATCATCATCATAATCATACACACAGACATACAGACTGCCTCGTCGGCCGAGTGGTCGCAAGTACGACTGGCAAGGGGTGCCAGTCGTACTTGCGACCACCAGTCGGGTGGGGTTCGATTCCCGGGTCGGGCAAAGTATTACTGGGTTTTTATAAATTCTCAGTAGTACCTAGCACGGAGTCTGGAATTCTGCCCGGTATATGGCAATAGGCTCACCCTCTATTACATGGGACTCATAACATAAATAGTTAATAGTGGGTGTTACATTGTACAGTCGCGTTGTATACACCTCTGCCTACCCGTTCGGAGATAAAAGGAGTGATGTTATGTTATGTTGTGACCCAAGAAATTTTCGGCGACATGTCGAGCGAAGTCGGCCGATGTCGCCTGACATACACGGTGACAACGCGCAACTTGTGTCCACCCACAGTGACGTTGATGTTGCCAGACATGTCGACCACAGTCCGTCAACGTCGCGCTACTTCACCCGACGTCGCTGGCGACACATCTCGCAAGTCGCAAGAGATGTGTCCCTTTGTGTATCCTTGGCTTAATACATTAGCGACAAGACGTCTACTGTAAAAAGTTAATAGGCCTCGCAGAATGACTTTCAAACTAACCTGCTGGAAACGACTTGCCATGGATAATATTAATTTTATCCTCCTTTAATCGTATATCGGGACATCGGGAGGCGATAACCCCTTTCTTGATTATAATTCCTGGGTAGGTCTTTGAACTGAACCTTTACTTTTTTTATTTGCAAACCAAATAACATGCTGACAGTGCATAAGTGCGGCAACCATCAACGTTAGGGGATGACGTCAATGGCGATTACCGAAGTAAAAAATTCAAACATGGAACCGATTTTTTCATAATAAAGATGTGTGTACGTAAAACCCGCAATAAATATTTAACACACATTTTAATACATTTAACAATTGTGTTATTCAATAAAAGTCTTTATCTCGGACACTTTACGATTCTGTTTCCCTTGTTTTATGCGGATACCGGGTCGTAAATAGGATTCATTGTACGATAACTGTGATAATATTTTGGATGAATTCTTACTTAAGAGAGTTCTTGTAGAAAAAATAATAACACTCCATTAGTTTCGAGAAGTGTTCCTCCCCAGACCGCTGTGTTGTGCAATCAAATAATTTTCTATAATTACCTATTTATTATGTTTAACAACCAATTGTATAAGACACCTCTAGTATTTTCACTCTATGAAAAAAGTTGAAACCTAAGCAATGTTGAAACTCGTGTAGTGTAGTGTAGTAAATGTAGTGTACCTAAGTATCTAAGTACACTACAATATAAATGAATAATTTAGAGCTTTATCCTAAAATTTATAAGGTTCAAAATGTCTTATCTTAAAGTAACAGATAGGAGTAGCTGGATGTGCCGCCGTCGGCGTCTGTGTACTGTGAGCGGATTTAATAATTAATTTGATATTGACAATTTGATTAGCCGCTCTCGAAACACTGGGAAAATTATTTTGTATTGTTGAATTTACGGAGTCTCCAGTTAAGTCTAATTCTCAGAAGGATAGACACGTACAGAATACTTTAAACTTGTTTTGTGGTGACAGCAGAGTACAATAGATTTGTCATCACCCCTCGTCTCGCGGGTATCAAGACAAGATACAGGACAGTTTTTCATCTTCTTGTGTGGAATTGGGCTTCATTGTTTCAGTACTGGGACTGCCTCGTTGGCCGAGTGGTCGCAAGTGCGACTACCGAGCAAGGGGTCTCGGGTTCGATTCCCGGGTCGGGCAAAGTATTATTGTTTTTTTTTAAATCTCAGTAGTAGCACGGAGTCTGGAATTGTGCCCGGAATATGGCAATAGGCTCACCCCCTATTACATGGGACTCATAACATAAATAGTGAAAAGTGGGTGTTACATTGTACAGTGGCATAATGTGCACCTCTGTCTACCCCTTCGGGGATAAAAAGGCGTGATGTTATGATGATGATGATGTTTCAGTACTTTTTTAATTGGTCTCTAATTCAGATCCCGTCTGACCTACACGAGTTCGTTGTATAACTTAGTTGAAATCAATGGAAAGAAATTCGCGCCATTTTAAAATCAATGGCGGTCAATGCTTTCAAAATGGCCGCACGACGCAACGGAAATCGGGAATCCATTTTGCTGTGAGATATATTTATTACTGCAGTCTATGTATGTATGTTTTTGAAATGCCATATTACTGCCGACCAACCTTTGTTATTTACATTACAAGTATCCACAAATCTGACTGACTGACTGCCTCGTTGGCCGACTGGTCGCAAGTGCGACTGCCGGGAAGGGGTCTCGGGTTCGTCCGGGTCGTATTACTGGGTTTTAAAAAAAATCTCATTAGTTGCAACGGAGTCTGGCCCGGGTATCGAACCTGAGACTCCTTGCCCGGCGGCAGTCGCATATGCGACCACTCCGCTAATAAGACAGACATTACCACATCATAAGAATTCGATGTGAAAGTTCGGTAGGTACCTACTATTTCTATCCAGATTTGTAATTACAAATAGTACCTAATCCAATAAAACTACAATTACGGTAAATGGCTACACACGTATGTAATAGAAGATATTACTTATATTTAATGTGTAACATAGTAAAACGGAAGAATAAAACTTTAACGATCCACATAAAGCCGTGTACGTAAGGTACTGTCAAGAATATGAAACTAAACTCTTTGTGTCTAGACGGATTTAAAGTTACTTTTAAAAAAGAAAATCTAATATCCCTTAATGGAAATAAAAGTAAGTTTATCGTGAATTTTCTTTGAGATTAATGAAGCAATAAATCGCCAAGATTGCAGACTTTCTTTAGTTCTCCAAAATGGACGCCAATTTTTACAATATTTCTTTTTGTTAGATAAATTATATTTCTGATTGAATTTTATAATCTATAGTAAGCATTTTTTGTGCTTCAGGTACTCTGATATTAATGAGGATAAAGGGGTTAGATTGATAATTGTTTGGATTTTAATTGTTATAAAACTTGTATAATTGAATTTATTAAAAAAATGATTTCCATAGGCTTTCTAGTCCTAACATCGTTAATACTACATAATAAAGTTCGTCTATTTAATAACAGTTTTTTAAACAATAGTTTAAGAACGTATACCTTCATTCGTACTTAAATATTTGATTACCTACGTATCTTTTTTGTTGATTGGGAAAAATCATCCAATGACTTCTCACGCCTTGGGTAAGGCGAGAGGGAGTGTCAGACTTTTATTAACTAAAAACCGCCCCGTTCGTACTCCTGCTCTTCGAGCCGGAGCCCCGGCAACCCGTTAGGCCTTCCGCGGCTCCGTATTGGGCATCTGGACCCCGTCTATGGTGGTCTGGTGGATGATTAGGTACTAAAATTGGAGGTGAAAAGTTAAAAGTTAAAGTTATTTACTTTTAGTCCTCAATTCCTTGAAGCAGGTACCTAGTGCAATACCATAAGTAGTGTCTATTATATATATAATATTAAACAAATGTTTTCTTTTTTACCAGGCTCCACAATGTATGGGCTGCTCCTAGAAAACATGGCGGAATATATCCGCCAGACATACGGGGAGGAGCGATGGGAGGACATCCGAAGGCAGGCTGGGGTGGAACAACCCTCTTTCTCAGTACACCAGGTTTATCCTGAGAATCTCATCACACGACTCGCAAAGAAGGCACAGGAGGTAAGCGTGACACAATTTTTAACAGTAGGTCATTAGGTAGGTATATATTACTTGAATGGTGCGTTCTATATGGACCATTTAAAAGTATAATCCAATAAGGCCCCGGCTGAAGTAGTTTGGAACAGCGGCGATTGGTTTATATTTGTTGTTTAGGCTTTGTTTTGTTTTAATAAACAGCTGTATACCTAATGGCAACTAAAGTAAGTATATTATGAGACAGCGAAAGTAAAACTTCAAGCTTTTTACGGTCACTTAGCTTAGGGATGGCGTAACTTATTTTGCAAGAACCTTTTGGTGTTTACTTCCAAATTAATTGGGTCTTATTAAGTGCTTATATCAACCAATATTTTCACAGTTTCGTTTCTTTTGTAGTTTATTAATGATCCTGAAAATATTTACTACTCTAAAATGATTTATTTAGTTCCTTAATCATTAAATAAACTGTTATTTAGAAACTTCTACTCACACTTGTCAGTTCACAAGAAAGTTAGTTAGATAAAAAAAATATCACAACATATCTTGACCTTGACCAAGCGACTATTTCCGTCAACATCATATTTCCAAGATGGCTGCTCCGTAATACCACAAGTTGAATCAATCGTGAAAAATCTCAGTAATCACTAAATCATTTAAAAATAAATCTTCTGAATGTGTCGTGTGGTGTTGAATAATTTATTATTATTTATGTATTTCGTTGGTTTATTTATAAATTATGGCTCTTTGATCTGTTTCGTCACTAGCTAGTGGGCTGGTACCAAATATTAGTGAGTAGTTATTCTGACCTCGATATGGCAGTCTATACAAGTAACTGGGGCAAAGATTCTTCACTTTTACACTTTTCCTAAGAATCTATTACTTTCTTTATAAAGAGATTACCACAGAACATATAATAAGTGAGGTAGACCCATGCTTCGGGCATGAATGGGCCGACTCGACCGGAGTGATACCACGGCCCCGCAGAAAACCGACGTGAAGCAACGCTTGCGTTGTGTTTCGTCGTGTGAGTGCGGTTACCGGAGGCCCAATTACTCCCCTCCCTAGTCTACCAAATCCCCGAATCCTCCACAAACCTCAAATTCCCAATTCCCAAAATGCCAGTAACGCACTTGTAACGCCTTGGTGTTTCGGGTGTCCATGGCGGCGCCGATTGATTACCATCAGGTGATCCGTATGCTCGTTTACCGGCTAATGCTATAAAAAAAAATGTTCTGTGGAGATTACCCATACGACGTCTGCCCATATAACCGTTTTGGTTGTGACCGAACGAAATCTCTAATCTTCACCATCTATATGTATATAAGTACTTACTATATCTATATTTACCCGACGACTAACTTTTTCATGTCTTATTATACAGACGGATTCAGGTAAAATCTATAAAACTGCGAATGTGACAAATACCTAGGTAGATAAAAATTGGTTACAAAATTACCCTCCATTTCTAAGATTCCGGCATTCCTTAAGTGCTTGAAACATATATTTCCAATTGAATGCCACTCTCAGCCGGTTACACTAAGCGTTGAATTTGTTCCCGCCGAGACATTCAGCTGACTACCCAGCTCTGGCCACGACCTTTGTAAACCATTTTAATGGCCACGAAACGTTTCAAGTGACGTAAATCTTGGAGAAAGTATTAGAAAAAAAGTTATAGGAATTAGTTACTATAACATCACGCCTTTTATCCCCGAAGGAATAGGCAGAGGTGCACATTACGGAACTTAATACCACTGTACAATGTAATACCCACTATTCACTATTTATGTTATGAGTCCCATGTAATAGGGGGTGAGCATATTGCCATATACCGGGCATAATTCCAAGCTCCGTGCTACTACTGAGAATTTTTAAAAACCCCAGTAACTTTGCCCGGCGAATTAGTTACTGTAATACTTAATATAATGAAGAACACAATGTACTAAATACTTGTTATATATTACTTATTACTTACTTCCACGTAGACTCTTGAACTTATTCTTAATTACAGAACAAAATAAAATACAAATCATGTGGGTTTTTACTTCCAACAAAAATAAGTTAATTTTTTAAATTTTCTATCAACTAAAATTAATTATTTACATTAAAAATATATCTAAGTATATGATTAAACTAAAATTCATATTTTTTTTATTATTATTTGGTACCGACCAACGGGATTATTAATCATATAAAAAATTCTTACGATTCCAGCATCCATAATTCTACACAGCTCAGCGTCATATACATTATTTACTTACAGTAAAATAAAGATAAAAGATAACCGGATAATATCAAAATAGCATGCTAATACTGCATACAACACACGCACTGAACGCTACCCAACGAGTTTTATAACCTCATGTAAATAAATAAAGCAATGGACTGCGCAATGACGAATCAAAACGCAAAGATGTATTTACAAGTGGTCAAACGTTGGCCCTTACATATAAAAAAAAAAGATTTCCTACATTATAGTTGTCTAAAGATAGTACCCCGCTATTTCGTCATTAGATACATCGGCCCATTAGCTCAGTTGGTTAGAGCGTCGTGCTAATAACGCGAAGGTCGCGGGTTCGATCCCCTCATGGGCCACACTCTCTTTTTGCAGTTTTACTTACGTTTTTGTTTTTATAGTGATAGTTATTTATTTTTGCCATAAAAAAATATATTAGTTAGAACTTCAGTAATTTAATACTAATTTTTAAAGAATAAAAATAATGAACTAGCAAAATGTTTACTAGCGATTTCGTATTCTTAAAATTAAAAAAGGAAAAGAAAAAAATGTATACATTTACTTAAATTAAAACATAAAATTTAAAAAAAGAACTTCCAAAAAAACAAGAAAAAAAAAGTAAATTTTACAAAAAGAGCATTTGGAGATGCTGGGATTTGAACCCAGGACTTTCAGCATGCGAAGCAGACACTCTACCACTGAGTTACATCCCCGGTGTAGAACTTGTCGAAATTTTGTATCACATTCTCTACTTTAATTTCCTAAACAATTTTGTTTAAAAAAAATAAAATTATGTTGTAGTGCATAAAACCGTAAATCAATAATTTTTAAATTATATCATGACAACTGATTAATACGGAAAGTATTCTTTTTTAACATACAAAAACTGAATTACTCAAACAAATAGGCAACTAAGTACAGAAAACAAAAAAAAACTAATAACAATCTTTATTCTAACACTGAAATAGTTTCAATACCATTAAAAATTAAAATCAATTCAACATTATCATTGAAAACCTAACCTTATCACAAGGGAACAAGGTTTCCATTAGCGCAGCAAACCATATTATTTCTACCCACACGGCAAAAATATTTAAATGTACATATTGCTACTTTATATTCATCAGGCGCTTTGTTACAGGTACTGGGCATGACAGAACGTGAATTTATGGACCAAATGGGTGTATATTTCGTTGGATTCGTATCACAATATGGTTACGACAGAGTTTTATCAGTCCTAGGCAGACATATGAGAGATTTTCTCAACGGCCTTGACAATCTACACGAATATTTAAAGTTCAGTTACCCTAGAATGCGGGCCCCCAGTTTTATTTGCGAGAATGAGACGAGACAGGGGTTAACACTGCATTATAGATCGAAACGAAGAGGTTTTGTTTATTACGCTATGGGACAGATTAGAGAGGTGAGTAAGTACAAAATGGCATTAAAATGGTAGAAAGTTTGTTAAAAATAAAAAACAGTTATATTGAATTAAAGTAAAAAGAACTTGGAGGCGCCGGGTATCGATCCCGGTACCTCTCGCATGCTAAGCGAGCGCTCTACCATCTGAGCTACGCCCCCTGATACAATCATTGACGAAATACTCCATTGGCTTCTATTGCTAGTGAATTTTACTTTGAATGAACCTTACAATACTGTTTATAATGCTATTTACTACTAAAAATTTATCAAAGAATCTCTATTTAACATCAATTTATATTTTTTTTATTATTAACTAACTAAATACAGCGTGCAAGTAACGCCACCTGTTGGCCTTGGAGGCACTAAACGCAATCTGTATTGCTAAAGTGAAATAATAGATGGCGTTGTTCGGGAACCACTAACTTTAGTTTTGAGCAATATTTTAAAAATCTTTTTGCTTGCAGGTAGCCCGCCATTTTTATCACAAAGAAATGCGAATAGAGTTATTGAGAGAGGAATTATTATTTGACACAGTACATGTAACATTTCAACTCACATTCGACAATCGGGCCTTCACGCTAGCTTCTTTGGCGATGACAAGAGAAGAAAAACATCTTCCAATCAGTGCATCTGTATTATTCGAAATATTTCCATTTTGTATTGTATTTGGGTGAGTTATTTTTATTGATTTTCATTCAAATTAAAGCTTTTTTGCAACTTTGAGACCACACGACCATGAATTAACTTCAACGGTCAATTACTATTAAAAAAAAATATTAAAAAAATCTCTCGACTCGTTTTTTTTTTAATTCTTGTTGAAGTTTATACCTACTTAATAAATGATATTTTTTTATTTCAGTTCAGACATGGTAGTCCGAAGTATCGGTAATTCACTCATGGTGATATTACCAGATCTAGTTGGTAAGAAGATCACGAACTGGTTTGACCTGGTGCGACCACTCATTGCCTTCAAATTCCAAACTGTGAGTTTCTTTTTTAAAACATTATTTATTTACTTAGACTTTATTTCCAGGCAAATGTGGTCCATAGATATATATACCTTACAGACTAACGTAAATCAGTACATAGTATATAGTAAAACAAACTCGCTATTCGCCGTCTGTCTGTCATTATGTATGCTTAGATCTTAAAAACTACGCGTCGGATTTTGATGCAGTTTTTTTAATAGATAGAGTGATTTTTAAGGAAGGTTTATATGTATAACACATGTGTATTGCACCCGTGCGAAGCCGAGGCGGGTCGCTAGAATTTTAATATACAATTGATGTTCGTAAATAAACTTAGCCTATGGGAGTAAGTAGCACTTCACAATTTTCCCATTTTAAAGTACCTATGTAGATGGAAGAGTCCTTCCTAATTTCCAAAAGCCACCTACGGAGCGTGGGGTTCAGGTATGATAAATCACCTTTTAACAGGAAGACCTTTGTTCAGCAGCAGCCATATTCAGGCTAAGGATAGTGAAATAGACGCTTGCTTATCTTTATATATATAATTTTTCTGTGAGTGTGTATGTCACTGAACTTCTCTCAAACGACTGGACCGATTTTGATGAAATTTTTTGTGTGTGTTCAAGGGGATCTGAGAGTGGTTTAGATTCACAAATCAGCCCGTCAGATGGCGCTGCAGTCAGTATCTAGGTTATTTATCTATACCTATTATTATATTATATGCAGGACAACGTCTATCGGGTCCGCTAGTCTAGTATATACTTTTGATTAAGATAAGTACCTGCATACCTATGAAAGTTCAATAGCCAACGAAACCTATGGAAATCCATTAAACAAGTAGATACCTAAATATGTTTCTACTCTACATAAGTAGGTATTTACTCAAATAGTCTTGAATTAAAACGTAATTGAGTTTGTACGAAGCACGAGGAGAGGATCGTTGACCTCATGCTTTCGTAGATATAAATTAAGGGATGGAATTCACCTCTAAGTTATAAGTCCTTACTTACACACAGATAAGTATAACTTAGGTCCCACGTATCTGTGTAAATAACTCTTAGAAGATTTATTAGACAAAAGATAAACTCCAAAACATAAGCAAGAACTTAGTGGAATTTTAAATTATTCTCAGCTGACATGTTGTCAAAGAATGTTGCAAGCGAAACCGTGTGCGTAAAGAGTACAGTTAGACAGCTAGACAGGCAAACAACGACAAATATCTTGCAATGGGGATGATGACAGGGTATGAAAATTAAAAATATAATTAGTCCGTAAGTTAGGTAATGAAAAATATTAGACACGTATTTTTTTATTTTGTCGTATAATAAAACAATACTTAGGTAAAACGAATCAAAGTTAAGGAGTGGGGGCTAAAACGTCACGTTTCTTAGTAAAATGTACTGAGAAGTGACGTCACGCGACATTTCAAATCAATATATCTTCGAAACTATTCGTTTCTGTGAGAAAATAAAAAATACGTGTCTAATGTTTTTAAATAATCTACCAGACGGACATTAAAATAAAAATTAGTCGTCTACCCTATTGTCATTATGTGCATCAAGAGTTCATGACACGCGACAAATGTTGCCTAGTGTATATCAAGCTATGTCTAAAGTCTAATCAATCAAAGAAGTTCTAGGTAATGTCAAAACCTCTCATCAGTTGCGAGGTAACTTGTAGGTAACGTTACACCGTAGGTACTGTAAAACGGGGTGAATAAGAATCTGTCATTTATTATTGCACCTTGGTTCACAGTATCAATATCTATTTACCCCTCTTCTGTCTCTATTTATCACCTCTCGATTCCTATTCACCATGTTTACCAGTGTGACGTTTTTGGAGTATTCTGGACATGTTGAGCGTTTTGTATTTTGTATTGTGAATGAACCTAATATTTTTACTTACGTTTTAATAATTTATTGTTTTGAACAGTCGAAATAATTTATTTTTTATTAAGGAAAGTACCCAATTTAAGATACACCAAACTTCGTGTACTTTACACAAGATAGACACTCAATTTTCGACCTTCAAACTATTGAATTATGGTCGCAGATCCTGAACCGCACGAACAATATCTTCGAGCTGGTGACGGTGGAAGCTGTGATGCATGAAAAGGCGCCCGACAAGCGGAATGAGCTACTGCGGCTGTCGGATGAAACTGAGGCTGCTACTGACAAGAACTTGAGACTTAAAGGTAGATAATGATGTTTTTAATAAGTACTTAATTTATAATTACTGCCTAACATTTGGCCACAGAACATAATCAGATATAATTATGTATTATAATGTTCTGTGTATTTGCCATAACTTTAAAAAACTAACAACTACCTATCTGGATTTTGATAACAATGTTTAAGATGTTTTCATTATAGGTACCTACCTATACCTACCTACCTAATGTTTTACAAACATTGCCGTGTAGGAACACTTTATGGCGAATTACGTTTTTTGTCAAGTAAATAGATATTTTCCCCAGTTGATATATTTTGTTGATTATTTCCGTCATATATCTATACAAAATTACGACATCACTTTTATAAGTTTAGGAATATTTTTACATTCACAAATACGTATCTATCAAAAATATGACTAAAGATGTAAATTTCACACCATTTGAACACGACCTACATCAAAGCCGTGACCCAAAAACCATGGCATCCGTACCCATCAAATTGCCCTAAGATTCCAATCTGACAGTTGAACAAACTTGATTCGAACCCACATCACGCGTCGCTACAGCTTCTTAATTGAATTTACTTCGATGGAGTACGTGTCGTTGGGGCTTCCCCAACAAAGTTGATATACAGGGTGTTCAGAACGTGTGCTATTAGGATAACTATCAGAAATAAATAACATTGCCTAATAAATAACTAATATTACCTCTTTAATTATAATTTAAATTAGTGCAACAAATAATCAAGGAATTTCAAAATACTTTTTACGTCAGTAGTCTCAAATTCTTCAGATTTACTTAAGAGCACGGCAAAAAGCAAATTGTGAAAACAAGCTTCCTACAAAACTGTCAGATTATCTTGAATATAAGAATGCTTGGCAGCATGTTAGTTCAGCTCCACTGGACAATACTCAAATATAGTCAATAGTTACGTATGCAGTGTTAAACGCAAAACTATCCAGATGCTAAAACTGAAAATTTGGACTCTAGAACCACTTTTTACCTCCGTGTCAAGTAAAATAATAAAAACTTTGACTCGTTCAATTAAACTGAAAATGAAAAGTTTGAATTTAATTAGTTCTCGATCCTCAACTGTCAACGTATCATGATTGGCTGTCTGAATTAACAACGACCAATCAAATCTCTTGACGTTTGTAACTGACACGTATTAAATTTTGACACCTCGTTGATTGGTCGTTCAGAAAACGATCACTGAACTTGTCTAGTTGAAATTAATTTGGTGGAATGTCAAGTGTTAGATTGTCTTGAGGGTTAGAATTATTCAATTATGAATTTTAACACATAGCATATTAGGTATTTATTAGATTGGATGAAATGTCAGATGATGTCTATTGCATCGTCAGTTAGTTGTTTTATTTGTAAAAAACAACTGAAGAGGTTAATTAATCTGCCGGCCATTACCACTCAACACTGGCAGTATAGTCGACAACACCGTACTGGAAAATCGCTTGCCAAAAACAAGGACGTTAAACTAACTGTTACTTAACAATAATTGCAACACCAAAATTGGCATACCAATGCTAGCTATTCACTGTTCATCTACTGAGAAGGAAGTCAATAGAGTACCTTTCAAATATTTTTTATCAGATTCTAGCACCAAAATGTTAGTGGGTTATTATTTATGTGTGCGTGTGTAATGGGTTACCACGATAGCAAACTTAAGAAAATGACAGATGTCCTTCGTGTCAATGTGTGTATGTTCTACGTGTAAGTCTATGTTACCAGTCGCGCATTATAGTGGAAACTATCATTTTTTTTCTTCTTCTTCTAATATCTTCTGATTCAGTTCGTTGCGAGAACCAAGACAGTTATTCATGTCCCTGGGACGCGCCGGACTTCAGTGTTCCGGTGTTTTCATGGTTGTATCTACTGTAGATCCTGGCTTACAGGAGTTGCAGCGGTTTTGGGAGGTTGTGGCCGGCTTATCGTTGTTTCAAGAGACTGTGTATGCCTTCTTTTCAACGTCCTTGGCCAATGAGAAGAAAAATACTGCTGACTGCACGGTTGACGTGGTGGCCGTGCAACTGAGTGCCGCGCAACGTGTCGCGGATTCGATTCCCGCACGGAACAATTCTTTGGTCCACAGATTGTTGTTTCGGGTCTGGGTGTCATGTGTATGTGAACTTGTTTGTTTGTAAACGCACCTACGACCCAGGAGAAAATCCTAGTGTGGAGCAACGTATATAAATAAAAAAAAAATTAAAAGCATTTGGAAAGTACAGTTGTACTAGAATTGTAATAGTATATGAATAGTAAGCACTGCGTTAGTCTGGCTACGAAGTACTCTAACAAATGCAAAATGAAATTAAGTATAATATAACACGAACAAAAAATAGACAAAACCTGTAGAAACCTCGCTTTATTAATTCAACACTAAAAACAAAATTTTAAAATATAATATTTCGAACACTAAGCGAAGTGGCTGCCACCACACTCCACAGTGTCACTTGATAACTTTCGTACCAAACAAATGTATTTTCATACTATAGACTACAATGTTCAAAGCATTTCCAACTTTATCCTCTAAAAGTCAAAGTGCAGTTTCATTTGGTGTGGTTCTTTCAGTTCTCATAGACTAGACTAACATTATTTATGAGATCTCTGTTTGAGTTTTTACGTTATCTAGCTTCTACAGGAATGAAATGTAGACAGCACTTTATTAACTTGTTGGAATCTGCGAATAGTTGGTAGGGTATTAACATCACTCGGTTACATAGGTACACTTATCATCTAATGGCTGTCTTGTTGGCTGAGTGGTCGCAAGTGTGACTGCCGAACAAGGGGTCTCGGGTTCGATTCATGGGCCGGGCAAAGTATTACTTGGTTTTAAAAAAACATCTCAGTAGTAGCACGAAGTCTGGAATTGTGCCAACTACCAATATGGCAATAGGAACTATTTAAAACGATAAATATCCTTACAGTGCCTTCTCAATTCATATACAAAAATATTATGTACCTACGTAAGAAAAATCTACAGTTAAATGAAAAAAGAAGGGATCGCCATAATTTTAATACGAGAGGTAAAAATAAGTTAACTGTACCGCAATTCCGACTGTCTAAAGTGCAGAAGTCCTTCATGCGATTATGTGTCAAATTTTATAGCAAATTAGCAAATATTTGTATTGAATCTTATGAAAAAGAATTTAAAACTTGCATAACGCGCTATGCAAAAAAGCGTACTATAAATTGTGAGATTAAATTGAAAAAGAATTGACAGTTACAGAATAGCTGTTCAGAAACTTAGTAGGGATTGAATTAGGGTCATCATGCTCAGAAAATATTCACAAATACCGACTAATGACAAAAGAGGCAATTATTAAACTTACAAGTAATTATTATGTTTTTTGGCTTACTCACGTAATTATTTGACGAGGAACTCGACTAGTTTCAAGTCATGCTAGAAGCTCATATTCACATTATAAAACATAATAATTAATTAAGTATGTCTCATGAAAGTTATAACATAAATATATTCAATTTGTATTCCGTTTGGTAATATTTTCTATCTTAATGTTTCACGTGTTGTATTGTTGACCCCGAAACTGCCCCAATGTCAAAATTCTAATCAGAAAATTTAAATTCGGGTGCTCAAACCAATATCCACCGTCATTTCCAATCTACTGACCAGTCAGTAGGGAAATTTAAAATTGAGAAAGTTTTAGATGCGAGTCGAAACCACAATTCCTCATTTCACATGAACGACACTCATAACTTAAACAAATTCAATTAGAATGTAATTTATCGTGGTAATGTTAACGAGATTGAAAAATTAATCTTGCCGTTTCCCCACAAAGTTGGAGATGTTTTGAACTGACCAACAGAATGATGTACTGAGTTTTCCTGGTAATAATTTACCTGTACCTGTCGACAGTCAACCCTTCAATTTTGCTCAGATTAATAAACATTTTCTGAGCAGGATTTTGGCAGCATTACGAAAGAAAAACTTGGTACTTATTGGCCTAATAACATAAAACGATACCTAAATAACTGATTCGGTCTCGATTCTGTTACTATCTACACTACTGATGATTTTAAAATTGAAAACTATATTGATATCGTTTTAGAAAACAACCAAATAAACAATTTAAAAAACACCAATACATAATGTCCCACTGACATAAATGCAATGTTCCAGGCTTGCCACGTAAGAAGCGCTTTGCGTATGATGGAAGAGCGTTACCTGATACTATTAATTTACATCTTAAAGGTAGTGGAGATATCTTAGCACAGAGTGTAGCTGTAAACAAAACAGAAGCACTAGATACTTCATATTAAGCACTAATTTTTCTTAACGCAAATGTAAATTATTTTACATCTACAGCAATTTGTATAGCACTAAATTACTTCGGAACTTCCACAAACATCACTTTATCCTTAGTAGGAAATATTTTGTTATCTAAAAAGCACTTCTGAACACATTATTTGAAGATTTCTTTTCGCTTCACAAGTCTTTCAGTGTTTGTCCATGTCTATTTTTAGACGTCAATCTATTTCAGCAAATATTTGTAGACTTGAGTGAGGTTTATGCAAAATCCACAGTCGTAAACTTGTCGCTTTGCATATTAAATTAGATACTTAAGTGGGAGATCAGAAAAATCTTTGCGAATTATTATCCTATTACCTTGACAAATATGTTTGTTTAGCAAGAAAGATTTTAATTTCAATAATTATGTTTAAATTAGTAATATTATTGTTTTAATACCTTCTTTTAGAATATTTTTTGTAAAAATAACTTCTATTTTCATTTTTGTATCTTCTACAGCATTGCTAGTATTTTATGTATCAAACATTAATATGTAATTAGGATTCCTATCCTACTTGAATGTAGATACTTCTTCTGTATCATCATTATCATTTACATCTCCTAAAACCTATGCTCTTACCCAGGTCAAATGATCTACATGGACAACTGGCGAATGATGATGTACCTTGGCACTCCTGTGATGCCAGATCTGGCTGCCTTAGTATCCACTGGCCTCTATATCAACGATCTCTCAATGCATGACTTCAGCAGGTACGGATACAATGAATAAATTACTTTCACTACACGCGAAGTCAACTGAAAAGGAATTATATTAATGAGAATTATATAATTAGCAATTATAGTAATGAGTGAAACGGTATAGTTGTTGGAATATGGTACACAATAATGATCAATTAAACTAGTCCCGTAAAAAAACACTAGGGCTACCAGAAGAAATATTTAACAAACGTTAAAGTTGACGTCGTATCTATTCTAAAAATATACATTACACATGTCTTAAAAGTAAAACACAGAAATTGGAATAATTTGAACTCTAATATTAGATATCATATATCTATTTATTAAGTGATAAACAATTAATCCTGGTTGAATTAATTCCAGAGACCTAATGTTAGCGGGAACGCAGCAATCAGTAGAATTGAAATTAGCATTGGACCAGGAACAGCAGAAGAGTAAAAAGCTAGAAGAATCAATGAGGAAGCTGGACGAGGAGATGAAGAGGACGGATGAGTTGCTGTACCAGATGATACCGAAACAGGTCGCTGATAGGCTACGGAATGGAGAGAATCCTATCGACACGTGTGAGGTAAGAAAATTAATATAGATGTTTTATCATCTCACAAGGGTTGAACGTTTTACATTCTTGTCACGTTTTTGTAACCACGTCTTGTTTTCTTTCCGCTGAAATCACAAGAGCCTTATAGAAACTATTTTGATGTCGTCGCACAAATACTGTTAACGTGTCTCTTTTTAAACCGATGACCGACCGACCGAAAGAACCGATGACCGTTGGGGTAGACGTGTTCTGGAGTGAAGACCGCGTTTAGGCAACCGTAGTGTAGAGCGCCCTCCAGTTAGTTGGAGTGACGATATCCATAAAGTGACTTGTAGTGGTTGGATGTGTAGAGCTGAAGATCGATCTTTAAAACCAATAAATATAGTAAGGATACTCAGGCTTCAGGGTGACTGTAAGCGTCATAATAAGTTTCGAAGTGTGGGAGAGCCATGCTTCGGCACAAATGAACCGGCTCGACCGGAGTGATACCACGGCCTCACAGAAAACAGATGTGAAACAACGCTTGCGTTGTGTTTAGTCGTGTGAGTGAGGTTACCGGAGGCCCAATTACCCCCTTCTCCAGTCCCCACAATCCTCAAACTCCTAATTCCCAAAAGGCCGGTAATGCACTTGTAACGCCTCTGGTGTTTCGGGTGTCTATGGGCGACGCCGATTGCTTACCATCAGGTGATCCGTCAGCCCGTATACCGGCTTATCTCATAAAAAAGTGGCAACTTTATAGTCATAAAAGTCACAATTTCAGACTTCTATTGACAATTCAGTAGGTACATTCAGCAAGCGATATTCGACTTCTTCAGTATAATTTTAGTCCCATGAGTACACAATAACGGAATATAGGAAATATAAGAAGCTTAGTGAACGTGATCGATCACTAAATCCGAATTGTACATTGAAGAGAGGCTCTTGGCCTTTGGGACTTACATCCGTTGAACGGCTATAAAAAATAAAAGGTCTTTCCGATCTAACATTACAAATTCACTGAAAAATAGTTTCGTTTAAAAGCTTTTCCAGTTTTTTGGGTAGTAAATAATTGTGTTTTTATAATAACTATCGAGAGACACACTAAATTAAGTAAAATCGCGGGTTACTCACGTGAATATACTGAGTATATTCACTTTTCTCAGTATATTTACGTGAGTAACCCGCGATTTTACTTAATTTAGTAACTAATTGTCTACTACAACTAGTTTTGTTATTAATTAATGTTAATAAGGGCCTTTTGGGCATACTCTAAAAACGAGCATTGCATACAAAAAAGTCTGTTAACTTAATTGTAATCACCAAGCTACCTACCAACCGTGGGTGTCATAGTTAACGCCCTATGATAGAACATTGCCCTGTGATAGAACATTTTTCAGCAGTCTATCGGTTATCATTGATTACCAGAGGTCACTCAGCTATTATTGTTACAATTCCCGGGTAAAATTTTCAGAAAACCATCAGTATTGAGTACTATGGTTTTTTGGGTTTCTTTTTCTAACAAGCACAATATTTGATCCGATTCGAATACATAACCATTTCTGTGTTAAGTAGGTAAATATTTTTTATAATTATTATTCTGGAGATATGTAGGTATCTATTAAGAGATGATATTACGCGTATCAAAAATATCTTCAAGCTATTGTCCAAAAAATATCTGATCATACCCGTTGCCCGAACCCCATTGTTATGACACGATGTACGGTAACAACGTAATGTAATATTATGATCAAGATATTCAATACGTATCAATACCTGTCCATCTTTCCAGAATTTTCCTCGTACAAACCCCTAGTCATTTTGACTAAAAGGGATTGAGAAAATATAATCATAATTATTATTTATATAACCATCTAAGGAGACTTGCGTTAGGTGGACGGATCAAGGGCCTGATACAGAAGGCGGATCTCCTAGAACGGATCGTATCGTGAGAAGATTTTTGTCGCTTGAACCCTAACCACCGATAGTATAGACGCTGCTCCCGCGACTGATTGGCTCCTATTTTTTATATTTTTAACTATTATTCTATTTATTGTTAAGTAGTATTGAAAATAAATAAATTTACGGAAATAGTTATATTCAGACTGTATAGTGGGTAGTATATAAACCTTCTTTTATTTGTTTCGTGTGCATCCTTAATTAACGTTAGATAATAAAATAACAAACTTGTATAATTTACCTCCTAATTTTTTTTTGTTAGGCACCTACTTCGTTACCTAGTTGAACATGAATAATAATTTTAATGGAGTCGACAAAATATTTTCTTGAGCCCAATAAAATAACTAAAACTAAAATAACGAAAGAGAGATAAACTTGATACTTATCATTTAGCATCTGGCTGTTTTGCTCTGTACTTGTATTATATTCTGGGTACATAATATTTTAGTGGGAGAAATATAATGCTTGGGCATGAATGAGCTAACCCGACTGGAGTGAAACAACGTTTCGAATCAATAAAGCCTTTGGGGCTAGCTTAGTTGTTATTGTTGTTGGGGTTAGCCCCCAAAAGGCCAGTAGTAACACACTTGTAACTTGTTTAGCGTTACGGGTATCCATAAACAATGCCGATTGTTTACCAACAGATGAACCGTCTGCTCGTTTCCCACTCTATTATAAGAACATTATTATAACATAAACACAACATCACGCCTTTTATCTCCGAAGGGGTAGGCAGAGGTGCAAATACCTGCACTTAATACCACTGTACCACACCTACTTTTCACTTTTAATGTTATGAGTCCCATGTAATAGAGGGTGAGTCTATTGCCATATACCGCGCACAATTTTAACCTCCATGCTACTACAGAGAATTTTTAAAAACCCAACCAACGAAGCAGTCCTATTATTACACAATGCACAAAAACTCTAAACACTTTATAACCCAGCACCTACGCAAAAGCAAAAACGTATAACTAAACAATAACTACGTTTAACAAGACCACAACACCGCCAGTTGAACCGTTAACACTTTAAGCTTTATTTCAATCCAATAAGTGGGTAAACTTGAATATAGTTGTTTTAGCGAAGTTATCGTTTATCTCATCTGCGCCGCTGAGGGCACGGCTCCATGTTTGTTCAGGCTCTGTGCCCCCACAGCTAAGGACGAACTTATTTGATGATACTCTGTTTTGATTTAAGACGACTAAGTTCTCTAATGGAGTAGATAGAGATATAATTTTGAAGGTTAATCCTTGAACGTGAGGTTTCGTGTTGAGGTAGTCTCAGAGATGACTATTTACATATCATAACATCACGCCTTTTTATCCCCGAAGGGGTAGGCAGAGTGCGCATTAGGGCACGTATGCCACTGTAGGTACAATGTAACACCCACTTTTCACTATTTATGTTATGAGTCCCATGTAATAGGGGGTGAGTACGATTCCAGACTCCGTGCTACTACTAAGTTTGAAATCGCCAACCCGTAATGTGCAAGCATGGTTATGAATGTTGAAATCTTCTCCGTGCGAGAAGAGGTTTTGCTCAGCAGTGGGCACTTATAAGCTGTTGATGATGAACCTTTTAGAAAGGCGTAGACACCGGTCTATATTTAACGCCACTGTAAAAACAACATACCTACTTAATCAGTCGTTTTGAGAAACATTAATGGTATCTAATAAATGAATGTTCAGAGTAAAACTCATGTAGACGGGTGAAAAATGATCCGGTGCCATATTCCACTGGTTTTTACAAGCCATCGTGGACCCATATTGTAAGGAGAATAAATTACATCTTGTATGCCGAGGGACAAGCTCTGTTTTTCCGTGATGATTAATAGAAGTTACTGGAATATTTCTTTGTAAATATTTTGTAAATATAACGATATTCGAAAAATGTTTTATAGCACTTCATCATTGTTTAGTGTCGTCTCCAGAAAGATATCTGAAAAGTAGATTGGACATAGGACATATGCTACTATGCTACAGCATTTACTGAATTACAGATGAATTCAATAGATTTATTAAGTTCAGTGAAGCTTTAGCATTCTATACGAGGAGGCGTGAATCCGTTCAAACATGTCTTAACACCCCTACGCTCCCTAAATATTTTAGAACATTAATCACCATACTACGCGCATTGAAACTTAATATTCAACGCAACGACTAATGTATGTGTGACCACAAGACAATCGGCAAAGCGTCACCGATTTATGGTAGATGTCCCACCCACACGCATCAAGCTTCCTTGTTGTTCCGTACTTCTAAGGAGTTGAATTCTATGCAAACGTCTGTATTTTCTTAAGGGTATACCTTGGGTGTCTTCAAGGCCCTAGTGAATAGGTTGCTTAAGGGACGACGTACACCATTGTAGACCGAATCATCGCTTGATCATTAAATATTAAAAGTATTTAGGGTACATCATTTCATTTGAATCCTCTCTCAAAATTCTGGAAAGGTTAATTTTTGAGTTACTTGGCATTCTTCTTCAAACGTATCTGCTTGGATAGATCTTAGCTAGACTATTCTGAGCTCTCAACGTTCTTTTTTATCTTATCTTTTTTCTCTTTTTTCAGTTACACTAAGAGGCTTCGAACCTGTAGAAATGCTATGTTTTAATTAGTCTGATCATTGCAATCGGTTGAATTCATGAGAGTTACTGATTTTTTTCCACAAAACGCTAAACTGTTTGCGATTAAGAGCGTACTACAAATAACTTTTAAATACTATAACTAAATATTAATTTTTTCCTGTACCAGATGTTCGACAGTGTCTCAATCCTGTTCTCCGACGTGGTGACGTTCACGGAGATCTGTTCCCGCATCACTCCCATGGAGGTGGTGTCCATGCTCAACGCCATGTACTCCATCTTCGACACCCTCACTGAAAGGAACAGGGTGTATAAGGTATGTAGGACGCCAATCACGCGATTGGTAGAAAAAAAAGTCTCAGTTGCCAATAATGATTTTGCAAAATTATCATTATCTATTGATACCTTATATTCTTCCACGATTGCAAACACGTACCTATCGATTGTATTTTCTTTTCACACCTAAATCGAAGTGCAACTAAATAAATATCAATTTACTGAATTCCAGGTGGAAACAATAGGTGATGCTTACATGGTTGTGTCCGGAGCTCCTGAGAAAGAAGACAACCATGCCGAGAAAGTGTGTGATATGGCCCTCGACATGGTCGACGCTATTACTGACTTGAAAGATCCTAGCACAGGTGAGTCCCATAGAGCTATTGTAGCCTTTCTTTTACTTTGAGTTAGCAAACACCACTTAACCCTTTGAGTACCGTCATTATATGTGCGGACACCGGTGTCCTCGCGGTGTTTGATAGTTGAAGACGGAAAATAAAGGTGAATCTTAATGCAAATCACAGGTTCAATCTAGTCAAAATTAATTTTCGATGCACAAAAACCTGAAAATTCTTTGAGTTACCCAAATATCTCTTTCTGAATTCCAGGATCCCACCTCTCAATCAGGGTAGGAGTTCATTCAGGTGCAGTGGTGGCTGGTATCGTAGGGCTGAAGATGCCTCGGTACTGTCTGTTCGGAGACTCAGTAAACACTGCATCAAGGATGGAGTCCACTTCGGAAGCTATGAGGATACACATCTCGCAGACCACGCAGGAACTACTATCACCATCGTATATGGTGACTGAGAGAGGAGAGATACAGGTTAAAGGGAAAGGTTAGTTGTGGTTTTAGAGTTGATTTAAATAGTCAAAATGGTAAAGCATGTTCTGTTAAGGATGTGTCTAATTCCTAATGTACATATACCTGTGCTTGCTATTGAAAGATGCTATTTTATTAAGAAAAAAATGGTTTTGTCAAGTTTTTACATTTTCGCTTTTGGCCTTCCCAATGTTCTGAAGTGATTATCTTAAACAAAGTATAAATCCTAAGTTTCATTTAAAAATTGTACCACAACATTAAAGTACACTTTATTCACAATGACCACCAAAACAATGTTACCTATAATGCTTCTCACGAAACCAAACAAATTCTTCCAGGTGCAATGAAAACATATTGGCTAGAGGGTCGAGAATCTCGTCCATCGTTAACTAAAGTCATATCACCACAACTGACTCCTGGCACAGAACTAGAATGGGAGAGAGCGGCCGACGTCAGAGACAGTATCGCAGAACATTCAGCCCAACAAATGAACAATAAAGAACCAAACACTTTAAGAACACAGAATTCTGAGAACCACCTTCCAAATGCCGTTAACTCTGGACCTAATTCCTTAGTAAACTCCTCTGGGAATCTCATGACGGTGCAGAATACTACAGGAGTGAGAACCTCTCAGATATCGAATGCACCCACGACAACGATGACGTCGCCAGTTGAAGAGAGGAGAATGTACTCTCCTGTGACCTTTCAAGATGTTGCTAGAAGGAGTATAGCTAATTCACCCAATAGGTCGGAGAGGGAACGAGGTGAGATGTCTTCATTCTCAGATATTATACTTCTTTCTTCTTAATTATTGGTAGTAGGATTGTTACATTATACCCAAGATTATCTAACTATTTTGTAATCGTTACGAAGAATACAAGCGAAGCTATTGTTATGTTTTGTTATTCTATTTTCAGTCTCTATGATTTCAGTCATGAAAACGGTAATTTTAAAATCTTAAATGTTTTATTTTTCAGAATCAAGATCAAATTCAACGAGTGCAGCTGGAATGTGGACTGACGCTGAATCCGTGGATCCACCGAGAACTATAGACAGCCTCAATTCTTCGATCTGGTAATCTTTCTTTCTATATTTCTCTATCTACACCTTCAAAAACAATTTCCACTTTAAATTAATCAATTTTTTCTAGTGTACTATTGATGGTGTTAAATATTTTTGCCGTATCAGCATTGTAATTAATTTTCCTCTTAAGTTACAGTTCGACATCGCCGTGCAGAGTGGGGACTGCACCTCAACCAAAAGAGCGAGATACTGATAATATGATTGATACTGTAAGTTGTTTAAAATTGAATTTAGTGTGAGCAGTTACATTTTACACGTTAAATTCTTAGTCATTTATTCTCTCAATGGTCTTTGCGATTCCTATTTGCACCGTAGAATGGCACTTATTTAAGCCAACTTAAGACGATTAATGATATTTCAAAAATGTATTTGCATGTTGGGTTTTATACAATATTTTATTTTAATGCTTCAAATTCACTCTTGACATTGCTGATGAGTCTACTTTTGGTATTTGAATGGTTATTCTAAATCGATTACCTTTCAGAAACCAAACTTTCGCTTATACTTTTTCAATTGCTGCAACATTTCGGTGGTGGGTCATTGTATTTGGTGGTGGATTCATTCCTTCAATTAAATAAAGTTGTAGATCAAATAGTTTGACCGCTGGAATGTTCTAGATATCGTTAACTAGCCCGAGGCTAACGTTTGGGTGCTTCACGCTAATCCAACAGTGCGTTGCGCGTATGTCTCCGACGCGTTCAGCTCCGCCAGCTATAGGGGACTCTTACTCCACTCTCAGACCTGAGACTGCGTCATCTACGGCCAAGCATAGTGGAGATGAAATTGGTAAGTTGGTTCTGGCAATATTTTATGATAGGTACCTATTTCTGGAAAAAAGTTTTCAATTTGGAATATTGACTAAGGTTGACTAAGGTTAAGGGTCACTGCCTGCCTCATTGGCCGAGTGGTCGCAAGTGCGACTGCCGGGCAAGGGGTCTCGGGTTCGATTCCCGGGTCGGGCAAAGTATTACTGGGGTTTTTTAAAAATCTCAGTAGTAGCACGGAGTCTGGAAATGTGCCCGGTATATGGCAATAGGCTCACCCCCTATTACATGGGACTCATAACATAAATAGTGAAAAGTGGGTGTTACTTCTATGTGCACCTCTGCCTACCCCTTCGGGGATAAAAGGCGTGATATTATGATATTATGTTTTAAAACCCAGTTTTTTTTTGTTTTTGCGGTAATTTATCTGTAATTTAATTTAATTAATTTTAAATCGATATACTTAAATTATTTACAGTTGCAATTACGATAAATAGATATCTATTCTACAAGCTCTGTAATTAATATTAATTTATTTGTTTAGAAACAGACACTGAATACCAGGATGCCCACAACGATATGAACCAAGTACCCCATCTATGTACACAAGAATCTACGGAAACCCACCCAAAGCCAGGCAAAGTTGGGAGATTCAAGGCGCGAATAGCCCCGGGACATAATAAAACTTGCACAAGTCACAAACAGATTCCTAGAGAATTTTCCAATAAAGAAAAACAACAGCCTCAAGGTCAAATGCATCCCCATGGTCACCATCACACCAAGAATGTTAATCACCATCAATGCTGTGGAGCTTTCGGCAACCCACATGTTCGACATAAAAATAATTCTAGTTGTCATCTTATTTAAAAGCACCTTTATCTTCTAATTCGCTCGTTACGCCCTCTAGTGCCAGACAAAAAATGATTTTTTCTTGTTTTTGTGCAGCTGAACTAAAACTAATTAAATGCGGGTTTATTTTTTTTGGAACATGTACCTACTGTTATTTTTTTTCATAGGTTGTTTTAAAAATTATTTAAGTTTGGAACTTAGCATATCTACTATGAGGGTGTGATGGGTTTTTAAAGTGTATTTAGTATCAGAATCAGAATAATGAATATCAGTATTTTTAAACAGATTTATTATAATATTAGTTGTGACATGACATGTATCGTTTTGTAAAACCAATATACAAATTCACTCTAGTCCATAGAACAAATTTAATAGTTATAATAATAATAATATAATAAAATATGCAAGTACTTAGATGTAGGATATATTCTTTATAATAAAAAATGTACTTAATTTATTTTTATAAGTATCACAATATTTTAATTCTCGCAAAATTATAATAAAAATAATTTTTGACTCGTTAAATTTTTACGATTGCAAAAAATTTATGGAAAATTTTAGTATCATGGAAAAAATATTTAGCTTTTTCTAGTATAGATCTCAGACGAATACATCCCAAAAAGAATTCCAAAGATTACTATTAAAAAGAAAAAAATACAAGTTATGAGCTTTACACGATGACAATAGAAAATAAATATAAATTATAAAAAAAAAAATATCAAAATATTCGACGTCGTTTGACGACGGTTTTGGGATAAGAGGAAAATAGATAATATACCATAAACGTATTATAATAGAATATATTTTCTTGTAAACGAAGCAGATATTATATTTTATTGTACCTACTTTATAATGTAGATAGTGTTACTTAGTAACTTAAAAAAAACGTCTTTTTTTAGATTAAAAAGGGGCGTAGCGTCTAAGTTCTAACATTTTTTTTAATGTGTATTATTAAGACCACTTTTTATCATTAGGTATTATTATTATTTGTTATCAAAATAATAAGATGCTTCGAAAATCTTATTAGTACTTACTTGAAAAATGTATACGATTCGCTGTTAATAATTTGCTTCTGATTGAAAATTTAACCTTTTTTTTTAAAGTTGGATAAGAAAAACTGTGTTGTTTTTGTAAATATGTACGTATCTATTTAAAAATATTCGTAGCTACGCCCTAACTAGGCACAAATCGATTTAGTACTTAAGTTTATTTTTATTATACAAATATTTATATTGATTTTATTTTTTACTACGTGCTAGACAGATTATTTTACTAAAATTTCATTAATAGTAGGTATACATACCTATAAAATAATGTAACATTTTTTGACAATATAGTACCACTAGGTACAACTTTTTTCAGTAATTTTTTTCATATAAAAGTTTTATTACCTAATTTTTTATCTAGTGCGTGGCGTAAAAAATACGTAAGTAAATTTTCAACAATAAATATTTCATAGCTGAATTTCAATGTGTAGCTGAATGTTGTGAGTCAATTAAACTATATCTATCTACTTGTCTAGTCGTTTTGAGATTATCCATGTTGTATCTAATTGTACCTTTTTATTATTACTACAAATTGTATTATTAAATAATTTTTAATACAATAAAATGTTCACATTTTTTATGCAGCTGTTTAGAACGTACAATTACAATCATTTTGTCGATAATAGTCTAATTATTATTTAAAAATTCGAAAATGGTTTTTTTTTACACAACATAATTGGGTAGATGCCTAATTTGTATTTTTTTTCCATCTGGTAAATTATTTTAAATCATTAGACACGTATTTTTTATTTTCTTACAGAAACGAATACTTTCGACGATATATTGATTTGAAATGTCGCGTGACATCACTTCTATGTACCTACATTTTATTCGTAGAAATGACGTTTTAGCCCCCACTCCTAAACTTTGATTCGTTTTATCTAAGTATTGTTTTTTTATACAATAAAATAAAAAAATACGTGTCTAATATTTTTTATTACCTATCTTACGGACTAATTATATTTTGAATTTTTATACCCTGTCATTTATTTTTTTTTTTTGTAGAAGGTCTAACGACTTTTAGTAGTTTGTCAGTTTGGAAAACCCTTGATGTAGGTACTCAGTGGCGTTCTGTGCAAACTGTTATGACTTAAGTACGAAACAAGATTGTTGTAAATGGAAAAGTAAGCGAACATTCTTGTACCTAAACATTATAAATACCTAGGCGTTTTATTTTATAGTGCAATACGCTTTATTTCGTTTGTAATGTTTTTTTTATTTATTAGTATAGAAATTATATTTTACAATAAAAAAAAGTTTGTAAATAATAACTTGTAAGGGCGATTTTTCTGTACTTAGGTATAGTAAACACAAATGACCTGTTTTTTTTTATTGTATGCAGCTTTTTGACATTTCGTCACGTCAAAAACTGATTCTATTATATTTTTTGAAGTTTTCAAAGATATTGTTGTACTTATTGTTAATAATATAATTTAGTTAATTATACACCAGACAAATTGATTGTAAAATGTTTGATGGTTACCATAATTATTAATTTAGTTGCCAAACATGTGAATCTCACTTTCGTGGTATTAAAAATGCATCAAAGTGTTTGTTTCGTTTTATTTTTTATCCCATAACCAATGTTTAAAATGTTAACGATAATACCAGCTGAAAAAAACTAATGACGAAGAATTTTTTTTATTCGATAAATTATTGGGGTTCTTTCGAAAATATTTACCCAAGTCATACAATGGAGTCTGCAAGTGTATGTGACTGCACGGTTGGTGCGGTGGCTGGGCAACCGGCTGCCGGGCAACATGTCGCGGGTTCAATTCCCGCACGGAACAACACTTTGTGTGATCCACAAATTGTTGTTTCGGGTGTGGCTGTCATGTGTATGTGAACTTGTATGTTTGTAAACGCACCCACTACACAAGTTATGTTTCTGCCACCGACGGAGGGTGCAAATGGAAACTATGATCATTTTATTAAATTTATTATAATTAAAATTACATGTTAACTCCTAACATCTAACTAACCTAAGAGCGAATGCGTTCGAAGTTGGAAAAACACTGATTTCTTCTCTTAAAAATATTTCGAAAGAAAGTTTTCAATAAAACCTATTGAGGTTAAATTTAGTGGGGTGATTGATGATGCAGCGATTCGCAGCTGGGCACGAGGCGGTGACATGAGGAGACGACTCAGCAGTTTAGGTGTTGCAATACTTCGTTGCATCAAAGTAGGACTAATATCCTGATTCAGCAGATATGGTCCTCGTGGCACGGCGTTGATCACGGTGTAGGTACATGTGTCGGCACCGATACGTAACACACAGGAGAAAATCCTAGTATTGGGGCAATGTTTTTTAAAAAAGAAAAGAAAGAAAGGAAAGTGTAGGCTCACATTACTTTTACATGGCGCTATAGTTAAGTAGGTATTGTAGGTATTAAAAATAAAACAAATAGGTCGATATTTTCATGATTTATTTATGAAACGGTACAGTCTTAACAATAAAATAATATAATTAATACTATATTACGTAATAGGTACTTACTTACATGAACAAATGAAAGTAAAGCAACGCAATGTAATGAATGAACAATAAGGAAACATAGACGGAAGTTTCATAACTTTTTATAAAGACAATACTGTTTTCCTAACATTCCGAGAGTTCCTCGTTCGCGTTCGATGTAGGAAGAAGCCTACATCGTGCCTACAATATACAAGACAATTCTTTCCCTATGATTTTGAACAAGAAAGCACAAAATATTGCCAAAATCTTAATTCAAATACTTCTATCATTTACTATTTCTCAGCTACAATAAGAAATTGTCAAACTTAACCCTTTATTACAAAAATAATCTCATTTAGTACATTAAATAAACAGCTATAACAATAACTAAAAGAACCCATTTAACACCATATTCAATTTACTCGAAACTCAACTCGGTTCCCTTCAAGTGTTGTTCGGCCCACTCGTCGAATCTTCGCGACAAATCGTCCGACATGTAGTTCTTCCAATCTCCAATTTCCCCTTTCCTAATAAACCTTAAATCTGTGGACTCCAAATAGCTGACGCCGAAAGATTTTTCCAAAATGGCTTCCAAGTTGACAGCTCTGTTCGTCTTCATATTTTGGAAGGAGAGATGGTCACAAAGCTTGTCCACCTGGGTGTCGGTCAGTTCCTTGTTCAGGAAGTGAGCAGTTCGTCTAACCACGGACGGCAGGTCGTGCTTCATCTCTTCAAATTTGATGAAGAGAACATTCGGGTCGTGACGTCGACTCCAAAAACCTGGGTAATAAAAGAAAAAAATAATAACTAGGAAATATAACATAGGCATTTTGCCAAGAGACACCTAAATTAGCCGGGTCTTACCAAGTATATGATTCCAAACCGGTCCGAATGGTGCACGGTCTCTCATGAAGAGATCACAGAACTCTTCAAAAGTTCCCTTGAGCCCATGAACCAGAGTGCAGTAGTGGTAGTAGGATACCACCATATCCTTTGGATTCCGAGACGTGTATATAACCTGGGAACGATTAGGGAAGTTTTAGACCTAAATTAAAGGCAATTACATAAGATTCTATTTTATTGGTAGCTAACGAGAATCTTGCTAATTTATATAATTAGCCACACTATAACTGGTCCGAAAATAGAAACTATAGACAGAACCACAAATTACTGATCACTGCCTTAAATTCATAGCTGGCTGTCAAATCGCTTAACGCAAAAGTACTATTTTCGACCACAGTCGCAGCAGGCAATGCTAGTACCTACCTACTCAATAGTTTCTAGAATTTACCTTCGGCTTAGCAGATCCATCTTCGTTTTCGATATCAACAGGCAACAGATCCCAGGGCAGATGGCTGCGGATGTAGCGAGGGAATGGCAGACGATGCTTCACCAGGTCCACCGATGTACCTTGCACCGACTCCTTATGCCAGGTGGAGTGACCAGCCACCATGATGCAGGACAACTCCACTAGTGGGCATCTTATCTAGAGGTAGGGCGAGAGGTTACGGTGGTTT